CCCCCCACCACTCCAGCAACCCTCAGTTTGTTTCCTGAGAATACTTAAGTATTCCTCATACCAGGGAGATCATATGATACATGTCTTTCTCTGATTGACTTATTTCACTCAGCATAACACCCTCCAGTTCCATCCATGTTGTTGCAAATGGCAAGATCTCATTCCTTTTGATGGCTGCATGATATTCCATTATATATATATACCACATCTTCTTTATCCATTCATCTGTCAATGGACATCTTGGCTCTTTCCATAGTTTGGCTATTGTGGACATTGCTGCTATAAACATCGGGGTGCATGTACTCCTTCGGATCTTATGTATAATGTTTTGATAAATCAACAGTTTGATATGACTCATTTGAAAATTATCCATGTATATAACGTATTTGTCTTCATATATCATGTTTCTGTAGGATACATAGGATATGACTCTCTTCATTTTTAATGAAATGCCCCATGTATTTCATGGTTCATATTGTGACTATAACCTTTGAGGCAGGATTTTTAACTAACACACAGGACCTGTTCATACTAATGAATCATGTCACTTAAAAGTGGTCCGCTTGGAATTTATTCGTTCCTGTGAGATTGCCATTGTTCACAGTACTTTGGAGCTCCTCATATAGAATTGCCTTCATGGTCAGTGTACAAGGTACAGAAGAAAGCCAGTCTTGTAATTTTGTGTTCACCCAGCTTTGGAAACAAATGCCATTTCCCAGCCCCTAAAAAACGTATTCACCCTACCTGCTTTATTTTCTTTTTAAAGATTTTATTTATTTGACAGAGAGAGAGAGAGTACAAGCAGGAGGAGTGGCAGGCAGAGAGAGAGGGAGAAGCAGGCTCCCTGCTCAGCAGGGAGCCCGATGTGGGGCTCAATCCCAGGACCCTGGGATCATGACCCGAGCTGAAGGCAGACGCTTAACCATCTGAGCCACCCAGGTACCCTACCCTACCTGCTTTCTAAGAGAAGCTTTTGTATACTTCCAAACATAAGACATCCCTTCATGTCTTTTCTAAGGGTAAATAGCTCCATCTTCAAAGAATAAGAGAATATTCCAAAGAATGCTCCAAGTAATTCTAGGAGAAGAAATTTTAACACTGATTTCCATAATGACAACTTTGGAGTAAATGTCTGTCTTTTCCACAATATCTGATCTTTCAGGGAAATAGTACTTATTTAGATGCTTGAGTTTCGACATATTGGCTTTTATGTCTTATTTGTTATAGTCACACTTCATAGTAGAGTAAAATGTTAGAATAGAAAGAACATGGGCTTTGAAGAGAGACACCTTACCCTACTATGTTCTAACAGTATGATATGAGTGAAACCACTTCTCTGAACCCTTCCTTGTCTGTATCATGTGGCGAATGACACCCCAACTGTTGGGAGGACAAAATGAGATGTTACGTGTAAAGCATTTTGCACAGAGCCTGTCTGGTATACAATCAATGCTAGCCCTCTGCTCCCTTCCTGTCCTGGGTAGTTCCTCTCTAAGCCTTCATATCTGTTTCTAGAGTAGAAACTGTCAAGAAGAGTCAGCCTGGGCATGAGACTACCATTTCCACTCCCACCACATTCTGTTCCAATACCAGCACTTCTTGGCAAAACCTGAGCTGAAGTGAAAGTGGTTTATTTTGAGGCCCCAGAGAATAAACTGCTCAGCTTTCAGGGAGTGAACTGATAGGTCCTTTTCTGTGATTCCCAGCCAGTCAATTTAGGGGATTATTTTCTGGTTAGATACAGATGTGACTAAATACTAAGTCTCCTTTTTGTCTCTACTGCAGTTAATTCTTGAATATGCTTTTATTTTTGTGATAATGTGTGTGGGTTCAATAACCAGATATATTTATCAGTCAGGGTCTTGGCAGGAAAGAGATGTCACCCTGAGATGAGTAAGGTTGAAGAAAGATTAATAATGAATGCACTATTTACAAAAGGGCAAAAGAAAAGTTGTCAAAGAAAAGCACATAGTTTAGCAACACAGATGGCCATACTACTTCTCTGTCTGAAGGGGCAAAGGGAGGAAGCAGTTACCTGTATCTGACTTCTGCTCATGACACCTGGGGCTGCCTTCAAGCTAACTTAGCTTGAAGGAAGCCAGGGGGGGAAAATAGCCCATTTCACTCTCCTCTGGCTACTCTGATCTTCTGCCACAACCACCTATTGGCCCGAGCAAACCAGGAGCCAGAGGGTAAGGACCTTATAGGTCAGCTTCCCATAACAAGGGTAGAGTGGAGAAGATGGGATGTAGATACAGAGGAGTAAACACAGAATATCCAACATCCTCATCAAAGCTACACTCAGACAAAATAATATTTCTGTTGTTCTCTTGGGAAGGAGAAGTTTGCATGCCAATTATGGGCTGGCTTAATTTAGTCCTCTACTGATACTATAAATGTTTTCATGTTAGCAAATGCTAAGTATTGTATTTTTCGTGATAATATCAATTAACTTGTACCTGGCAGTCAGGATAATTGCATGCACTGGGCATAGCATAATAGAGAGATTGGGATAGGTTTGGGAAGGATATTGAAAAAGAAAAGGAATCGTTGAAGCATCTTATATATTGTGATATTGATATTTTGAATTTTTTAAATGGAAAAGCACTAATTTTGATGATAGTCTTATCTGAATGGCTATGAATTTATGAGTTTAGTATAGTGCTCATAGTACTTGGATTCTTCTAAGCAGTATAAGATGTTTACATTACTGGAATTTACAATAAGAAATAGTATCACTTGGGCATAAAAAAACAAATCCATACCAAATGTGGTTTAGTATGGTATTTTGAGTTTTGTTTTAAATGCTCAGTGTTTCATAAGATTACTGTTAACAATTAGAATTTCTGGAGAATAAAAATACATGTTATTACAAGTAATTTCTTGGCTTCAAAGAAATCCATAAAAAAGAATGACTGATGTTCCAGTGAAGTATTGAGGACATATGTGAGAAAAATGGAAGCCTCCTTTCCTTGTTGAAGATCTCAAAATATAGTTTTCTCTGGAACTGTGTGGCAGGGTAAAGAGCATATTGACTTCTTAGAAGCATCTAAAAATGTGTGGGAATTAGAAGAGCATGTGGCTTGACTTGTTCCATTGGTAACACCCAGAGAAGGGTTAGGGAGAAGGATATTGATTCAGATTTAGAACACATGGAGCTGGGTTCAAGGTAAGCATAAACTCTACTAATTTTGGATTGTTGGTGATATTGTCCAAACAGATGAACTCAAAGTATTTTTAGTGTCCCTATTTGTGCTGACAAAGTATGATTTAATATGTTTTTTTTTCACAAACATTTTGACTTTCAGTTTCGCCATAAGAGTGATAATCAAGTGAATAATCGGCTATCTGAAGTGCTCATCGACAGCAAGTAAGAAATAAATTCTTTGGGTTATTTTTAAGATTTCTGGGACCACAAAACAGGTCTTGGAAGTTGGTGGCTTTCTCTTTCAATTAAGTGTATGTTACTTTTCCCTTTCAATTTATTAAAAACTACAACAAAAGTCCATTTCATCTTCATGGCTTTTTTAAATGTTCAACCAATGCTGTGCTGCCCATTCGACTTCAAATCCCTATGGAGTTTGTTCTGTGGAACACAGACATGCTGTGTCACTTCATTTTTAGATCTAATATTGCTTAAAATTGGCACCTATGCTATGTCTTGTATGTAGTCAACGTTTCATAAATGTTTATTCAATTACTTAATTTCTGGGAAATATTGCTAGACAGACTTGAACACATTACTGTATCAAGTGATGGTGATAAGAATCTTGCATTTACTTGATAGTTGAATTTAGAATGGATTATCCACCATAACACAGATTTTCATTGCTTTTAAGTTGATAAATATTTATGGAAATGATTCTTGAATTTAAAATGCTTTAAAACATGTATTTATACACTAATAACAGCAGAAACACCTCCAGAAAACTTAGCAAAAATATATTTCAGAACTTCATCCCATTGTTTCTTACTCTTTGTCCTTTTCTGCTAATAATAACATGTGACAAAGTAAACTTACAATACATTCTGGCAGTCAATCCCATTTGCCGATGATTTTCAATCATTTGGATACTGTGAAGAATATAATTTTTAAAGGGAATATCATAAGATGAATATCATAAAATGAATTAATAAAATGAATCTCATAAAATGAAATTCCAAGAAATGATAAAGATATTAAGAGGGACTAGGTGTAATCTAGACAGTAATTGGTAGGTTTGAAGTAATTAATCTCTTTCCATAACTCAAATGTTGACTGATCACTAACAACATAATGAATACATAGTTTTTCTGTATTTGCTTGTTTTAGAAAATAGTGTTAAATGCACAATGAAGGAAAATGATCATACTTTAAAACTATAGTGGTAGAGGCAGAGCCTCTGAAAGTGTGATTCCGGTGTGACATGGATAAGCTATAAAGATGCCTGGAACCATGTGGTTCATTTCCAATGTTAGCAGGTTTTTAATCGTTGCCACTATAGTATGGTGTTTAAAAGCATGGATTTTGCACTCAGAGGGACTTTAAGTATGAGTTTAGTCTTGATCTCAAATAATTCTGTGGTCTGGAGCAAGTTCTTAAGAGGTGGTGAAACTTTGTAAGCTAATGTGGTGTGTTGCTTTGAGCTATACTGTTGCATATCTGGACTTTCTCAAGTCTTGCAGTTCTGACTGTGTATTAGATCTGCCATGAATATGATATGACTAATTCCTCAAGGAACATTTGATAATAAATCTTATTCCCCTGAAGTATCATCTCATATAAAGTACGTTTAAAATATGTACAATTACATAGTGAGTTTGAAATAACAGCTCTAGCATATCTTTTAATTTCCCTCAAATTTCCAGTTAAATATTTTTTTCCATTATGTTCAGTTAGCCAACATATAGTACATCATAAGTTTTTGTTGTAGTGTTCAACAATTCATTAGTTGCGGATAACACCCAGTGCTCATCCCAGCAGGTACTCTCCTTAATACCATCACCTGGTCACCTATCCGCCCCCCCCCCCAATTCTGTAACCCTCAGTTTGTTTCCCGGAGTCCAGAATCTCTCATGGTTTGTCTCCCTCTCTGATTTCTTCCCATTCAGTTTTCCCTCCCTTCCCCTGTTTATCAGTTAAATCTTGTGGCAATACCTGGGCAGTGATAGATATTGGGGCCTCTAGTTGGAGGCCAAGGGATTAATCCAGGAACTTACACATTCAGAAACTTGATGACTGTATGCCTCCCACACATGCTAGCTATCATTATCATTATTGTTAGAAGCAGTATTAGTGTTACTTTCTCGTGGTTTCATTTAGCTTTCCATTGATTCCTTATGAAGTAGCATCTCTTTGTAATTCAATATGATGTGATGTTTTGATATGTATTGTTGCTGATCCTATAAAGTTGAAGGGAGAAGCACATATCATTGAGTATGAACCATCCTTTAGGATTTGGTAAGAAATCAGGCAAGACTTTCCATTTATAAGGTTGCCCATTGCTGTGAGCTCCTCTAGGGCAGGGGTCGTCTCTTGATCACATCTGTGTCCCTTGAGCCTAGCACTGTGTCTATTTAATTTGCAAACTGAGCAGTAACAAGTATCCTTGTTGAAAGAACACTCTTCCAGAGGACTTTGATGTGTCTGATTTTGCTGAGTTCCATCACTGGCCAATTCCAATGGCTGGGGTGGTGGTCTTTGTACAATGTACTCAGGCTGTGGAGATGGCTTTCTATTATTTAGATTTTTGAAAAATTGGAGAGATCAAATGGGCTCAGATCTAAGATATCCCAGAGAGCTTGGAGTCCTTCCTTAGAGCTGGTAGTTGTAGAGGATATTGTTGGGGCTCTGCCTAGATCCCCACCATCTACTGTGCTCATCCCCAGCTTCTGTGTGCATTGCTTATAAGTGCTTGCCCCTGCTGTTTCCTTCAGAGCACTGCCCTTGAGTTACTGGAGCCAATGACTGATGGGTGCAAGAGTATGAAAGAGCAGTGCCCCCGCCTCAAGTTGAGCAAGCTCTGAGGTTAATTTGTACTCTCTAGCACTCCTTGAGATTAGACGGAGGATGGGACTTTGCCTGCAGTCACATCCTTTGTGGCTTTTTCCCTTTCCCCAGTGTTGCTTTTCATGTCCCTTACCAGTTTCTCCTGGAAGTACTTTCCTAATGAACCATTTGCACATGAAACCTTATCTCAGGATCTGTTTCTAGGGAACCTGATGTGAAACAGTAGTTAACGTGTACTAGATCCTATTGCAATGTTAATGGAAAATATTAGGAAAGTGCTTTTGGGTCTATCCTTGGCACCTGTGGGTCCCAATCCAGGAATAAAGTAAGATGCCTGGAGGGGACCAGGGGAGTCCAGGTGTTGCTGGAAGTGAGTGTCATAGTGGAATGGGTACAGCCAGGTACTTGTGGCTTCCTTTGTGTGCTCCTGGCAGGAATTGTTGGACTTGGGGTCTTTGTACTAGGGCAGGAGCCATCATTGGCTTGTCTTGGAAAGAGGGGAGGCATTGTCAGCCTCAGGGTCAACATTTTGGAGGGGAAGGAGGTGGGATGAAAGCACCAGTCAGGAAACCTAGGTCCATGTAAGTGATCACGGTGTGACTTTGAGCAATTCATTTTCCTTCTGGGCTTTAGGTCTCTCTTCTGCTGTGCTCAGCAGTGAGGAAGGTGGGCAGCTACATTCAGATTCAACACATATTTATTGAGCAACTACCATGCGTTTGGCTCCAGGGCTTCCACATTTAACTTTCTTTCTTTTTTTATGTTATGTTAATCACCAGACATTACATCATTGGTTTTTGATGTCGTGTTCCTTGATTCATTGTTTGTGCATAACACCCAGTGCTCCATGCTGAACGTGCCCTCTTTAATACCCATCACCAGGCTAACCCATCCCCCCACCCCCTCCCCTCTAGAACCCTCAGTTTGTTTTTCAGAGTCCATCGTCTCTCATGGTTCGTCTCCCCCTCCGACTTACTCCCCTTCATTCTTCCCCTCCTGCTATCTTCTTTTTTTTTTTTTAACATATATTGCATTATTTGTTTCAGAGGTACAGGTCTGTGATTCAACAGTCTTGCACAATTCACAGCGCTCACCATAGCACATACCCTCCCCAATGTCTATCACCCAGCCACCCCATCCCTCCCACCCCCTACCACTCCAGCATTTAACTTTCATAAAAAACCCCCAAGGTGTGGTTAATAGTGCTCCATTTTAGAGATTAAGAGATTAAGACCCCAAAAGGGAGTGACTTGTCCAGGGTCCCATGGTAAGTAAGAGCCTAAATTAGAATTCTACCCTTTCATGAGTGATGTGTAAGTGTGGACTTCACTATTTATTTTGTATTTGAAGGGCTTTGTATACAATTATAGGAATATAAACATAATTACATAATATAGATGTAGTTTATCTCTATGTAATATATATTTGTATTATGCACAGTACTCATCTACGTTCTTAGCATTGTGTAAGCTATAATGCTAAATACTGTAAACCTAAGTCACAAAATAGAGTGATAAAACCCTTCTTTTTATAACCTTCCTTTCAATTTTATGTTTTTGATTTTGTTACTCATATTCCTTTCAAATTTGGACCAATCTTCTGTATTTGCAATCTGTTATGTGAAAGTGCTTAAGAGATAGACGTCGTATTAGCCTTTGACAAAATTTGCTGACTTTAGTTTTAAAACTAAGTAGAGGTGGCATGATTCCATATTGTAGAAATTAATGTGACTACTGAATAGGAAATGCACATTTTTGCCCCAAGCTATGAAATACTGTAGCCCCCCTTTCCCTGCACTTTTGCTTTCCATGGTTTCAGTTACCTGTGCTCAACCATGGTCTGGAAGCAGGTGATTGACCTTCTGACATATCATCAGAAGGTCAGTAGTAGCCTAATGCTACATCACAGTGCCTATGTCATTAACTTCACTTCCTCTGATCATGTGGGCATTTTATCATCTCACATCATCACGAGAAGAAGGGTGAGTGAAGTACAATAGGATATTTTGAGAGAGAGAAACCATGTTCACATAACTTTTAAGTATATTGTTATAATTGTTCTATTTTGTTATTGTTATTAATCTCTTACTGTGTCTAATTTATAAATTAAACTTTATTGTAGGTATGTATGTATAGGAAAAAACATAGTATAGGTTTGGTACTACTATCTATGGTTTTAGGCATCCACTGGGGGTCTTGGAATGTGTCCCCTGCGATAAGGCATGCTGATGGCATGTATGAATACCAGTAGCTATCTTAGTGTTTCTCGAGAGGGTGTCTCAAGTTGTGCTAACATCCTTGACCACGCTGAGAGCAACTGAGGGACAATGAGAAGGTTTGTGATAGTCCCTGAAGAGGTCATCTAATCTGGTGCCCTTCAAC